GTGCAAACCGCCTTTGACCTCTAACGGCTAAGGACCTGTAGAAGATCAGACCAAGTCCACAGGTTCCCTGAATACTCTTAGGACCTGTAGAAGATCAGACCAAGTCCACAGGTTCCCTGAATACTCTGAGGGCCTGTATCAGAGCAGATCGAGTCTGAATCTTGAATCTTGTTGCTTGTGACTCGTGCAGACGACGTGTATACGTTAGATCAGTGGTCGCCAACTCGTCGATTGCGATCGACTGGTAGATCTTTGAAACATTCCCTGTAGATCCCGATAACAAAATAAAGCTTGAGAATTAACTTTCGCAAAATGACAATTTACGGCGCTAGCTGTCAAGCCAGACATTTGATAGGTGACAGCAGACGTGGTCAGCTGGTAGCCGGTGGCATCTCCGAGAAAAACGTAGAAAACTTATCATTTCCATGAGGAATGGGAAGAGGAATTTATTTTCACCATGGTGAAAGACAAGTGTATGCTGTGCCACCAAATGCTTGCTCTGTCTAAAAGAGGAAATCTGGAGCGACACCACAACACCAACCACGTCAAAGACAGTTTCCCAGCCAAGAGCGCAATCCGCGTTAGAAAAGTTGCTGAGCTGAAAGCCAGTATAGAAGATCCCGCAGTGACTTTTCACTAAACCTGTTGCTCAACATAAGGCTGTGACTGAAACTTCATTCCGTATTAGTCACCTTTGGGCTAAACACAAGAAGCCTTTTACAGATTATTGAAGGAGGCAATGGCCATCACTGCAGATACAGTTTTCAACAGCTTCAGCATCAAAGACGACATTAAAACGGCGCTCTGCAGTATCCAGCTTGGCCTGGACACTGTTGCGGGGGGTTGAGGAAACGTCAGCTGACATGGATCGAAAAGTGCTAACTGATTTGTCACACTGTGAATATTTTTCACTCCAGTTTGATGAATCCCTGGATGTAATGGACACAGCTCAGCTGGGTGTATTTGTCAGGATGGCGTTCCTTGACTCTACAACGAAAGAGGATCTTCTCTTTTGCATTTAACGGAAAGAACAAGAGGTGAGGATATTTACAACGCATTTAAAAGCTATGTCTGTGATAATGACTTCCCGATTGACAAACTGGTGGCAGTTACCACTGATGGAGCTCCAGCGATGCGCGGCGTGCGCTCTGGATTTATTGCGTTGTGCCGTAATGACAGCGATTTTCCCGACTTTGTGAAGTACTACTGTGTCATTCACCAGCAGGCTTTGGCGGGAAAGGTTGTGAACTTTAATCACGTTATGACTGTGGTGGTCAGACTGATCAACTCAACTAGAGCAAAAGCGCTTCAGCGCCGCTTATTCAGAGCGTTAATGGATGAGCTCCATGCCGCGTACGGAGACCTTCTCCTCCACGCTGATGTCCGGCGGTTGAGTCGAGGAAAAGGACTGCAGCGGTTTGTTGATTTGCTGCCTCAAATAAAGACTGTTCTGGACATAAGAAACGCGGAGTGTGAGGATCTGTCAGATGAACCTGGGATTTCTGACGGCATAACTGAACGCGCTGAGCTCCAGGGAAAAGACCGACACCTCCCCCACCTGATCAGCAGCGAATGTGTTCAAGGCCAAGCTGGGTGTTTGGAAAACACAGCTGGAAAACAGGAGGCTGACACACTTTTCCAACTTGGAGAAAATGTCACAGGTCATCAGTGACAAGGATGCTTTTCACCCTGAGGAGTGCTGTGGTCACCTGTCCCCGTTCTGGTGAATTAGACGCCATGGAAGATGTTTTAAATCCTTTCCTGACCACTGATGTGGAACAGGCGGCAGCCAAATGTCAGCAGCTATTTGCTCCGCCTACTGCGGTTGTCATGGAGATTCTGGATTTAATGAATGACATTGAGCTGAAAGGACGACCACAGGACAGTAACTTTAGGGGAGAAGCAGGGAGAAGTTTCCCCTCCTCACATCATGCGCACTAAGAGTGAGTGAGTGCCTACTGTGGATCTACTTACCTCTGTGAAATGGCGTTTTCACAGATGAAAATAATTAAATGAAAATACAGGAGCTGCCTTAGTGGCAAACACCTCACAGACCGTCTCCGACCAGCTGTCAGTAGTTATGAGCCAAACTGCAGGGCAGCTAGCAGTCACAGCTAACCTGGGTGAGTAACATGCTAGTTTTAACATGGGAGGTTAATTACACATAAAGATGCTAAATAACTACACTGAGCTCATTTACACTGACTGGGAATTCTTTTAAACACAATCAGTTCTATTTTATTACATTTTATTGTAATAAAAATACTGTCTAAAAAAAGCGGCCGCTGTCTAAAAAAGGCATAGCACATAACAAAGGACACTTCTCATCCCGGACATTCTCTGTTCACACTGTTGCCTTCAGGATACAGAGCAATCACGTCAAGAACCAACCGCCTTAGAGACAGTTTTTACCTGACAGCAATAACAAAACTAAATGCAACCAAAAATAACCATTAATCATCATGGATGATGTGTGTGAGAATGTACTATTCTTATTAGTGTTTTTATCAGCTATTGTTATTTATTTCTTATCTTATGTGTAAATGGTGGTGACAGTGATTTTTG